CTTTGATGTCTAGCGTTGCTGGAGCTCACGAGGATGCAATGTGTGACACAATGCATTAGGCAGTGAGGTGGAGGAGGCAACCACCATATACATAGTTTCAAATGTAGATATGATAGAGCCCAGTAGGCTCAGGAATCTGTACGTCAGTTGAGAGGCGGGACCAAAGAGCCAAAGCTCAACACCTCTTCCCACCTCCCATGCAAGCACAACTAAGTGAATACAAGCTGTGTTGGCGTCGCCGACGCGAGGAATAGACTGCGTTCATGAATTGAAGTTGAAACTTGTACTAGGACTATAGTTCTACCTACCAGAATAGCTTCCCACACTTCCCACACTCTTACATATATATATATATATATATATATATATATATATATATATATATATATATATATATATATATATATATATATATATATATATACAAAAAAGAGGGGGGACTGATTTAAATATTTTGGTAAACAAGCTTGGTCTAACACTCCTTTCTGTAGCTAATAGTTATATAATCTTAGCCTTATCCTCTTATCAGTTAATTCCCTATCTCACTTAGGTAGTCTCAGAACACAGTTCCTTTAGCCCGTCGCCCCAACTCCTCATAGCCGCCTTACTCCTAGAACCAAATAAACATGAGAATGACCAACTCCAATTTACTCAACTGTAATTTGGGTAGCACTACCGGCGTTGGCCAGGGTGTCCAGAATTGTCCTGACTCCAGTGGCTCTTGCTGACTATCCTCACCTCAGGCGGTTCAGCTCTCTTCACGGGGATCGTCAGACGATTGTCTTGTGTTGCGGTGTTGCGTCTATGACAGCCCTGTTGATCATTATGAAGCGTACGTGTTGCAACGGCTGCGTTCGTGTTGCAACGGCTGCGTTCGTGTTGCAACGGCTACGTTCGTGTTACAACGGCTACGTTCGTGTTGCAACTGCTGCGTTCGTGTTGCAACGGCTGGATTCGTGTTGCAACGGCTGCGTACGTGTTGCAACGGCTGCGTTCGTGTTGCAACGGCTGCGTTCGTGTTGCAACGGCTGCGTTCGTGTTGCAACGGCTGCGTTCGTGTTGCAACGGCTGCGTTCGTGTTACAACTGCTGCGTTCGAATTACTTGTGACCTCCAGATGATCGGAGCGTTGCCAGGAAATATTGTTCTAGACAGTCCATTACACAATAATTGTGCGTGTAACTTATTTTCCCGTTTTCATTAATTTTATTGTTGTTTAATGGGGAACTATAATATTTAATCATCACTACCGAGACGTTATCTAATCAAATCTCGCTGGATAATGACCGCGTATTGCAAGTCAATTACGTGCTTATCATGTGCAAGGATGATAAGAGGTGTGCAAGAATAATATATATACTGAGAAGTGGAGTATACCTCTTGTTCTGTTATCACCACTACTCTCTCACCTCCGCATTCTGTGTTACAAAGACGAATAGAAAAAAATAGTGAAGGACTACAGACGGAACATTAAAAATCTGGTCTATTTTAATTAGAATATGGATAAATAAAACACATATTGAAACTTTAGGAGACTTTATTTACAATCTGGCCATACACATCCAATCTGACTCAATGCTGCAGAGTCGCCAGTCACTGGTTTATGAGTCACGAGTCACTGGTTTATGAGTCACGAGTCATTGGTTTATGAGTCGCGAGTCATTGGTTTATGAGTCACGAGTCACTGGTTTATGAGTCGCGAGTCACTGGTTTATGAGTCGCCAGTCACTGGCTTATGAGTCACGAGTCACTGGTTCATGAGTCACGAGTCATTGGTTTATGAGTCACGAGTCACTGGTTTATGAGTCACGAGTCATTGGTTTATGAGTCGCGAGTCATTGGTTTATGAGTCACGAGTCACTGGTTCATGAGTCGCGAGTCACTGGTTCATGAGTCGCGAGTCATTGGTTTATGAGTCACGAGTCACTGGTTTACGAGGGAGCGAGACACTTGGTTATATACAAACACCGGAGCCAGGACCGTGTGAATGAACTCGTAGACAGGGCGGGGGGACCCGCACCCCACTGAAGCATAGTAATAAGCAATAAATCTTATTATGCACTCTCTTAACTCTTTGTTTTCTTACATTACATGTTTATTAACATCTTTCTTAACTATTCCCTCATCTATATAAGGAAAAAAAAGTATTTAATTATTATACTAATCATGTATGATAAATGAAAATATACACACACATGGAATATTTAGCAAGAACCTCGTATTATTAATGCGAAAATAGAGTTGACATTAAGGAATTAATAACTGTTGGAGAGAGGGCAGATAAATGGTTACTTTGAGGCCTTGACCTCAACCGGCGTCGTGGCTCCATTGGCTTGGGGTGCCAGTCTCTCAAGCATATACCAACTTACACTTAAACCGATGGCCAGTTATACTAAGGAATATATCTGAGGTAGCGACAGGAGAGCATACACTGTTGTAACATTAGCATGTCACAGCATGCTGGAACAGGTCCACAGCATGCTGGAACAGGTCCACAGCATGCCGGAACAGGTCCACAGCATGCTGGAACAGGTCCACAGCATGCTGGAACAGGTCCACAGCATGCTGGAACAGGTCCACAGCATGCTGGAACAGGTCCACAGCATGCTGGAACAGGTCCCAGCATGCTGGAACAGGTCCACAGCATGCTGGAACAGGTCCACAGCATGCTGGAACAGGTCCACAGCATGCTGGAACAGGTCCACAGCATGCTGGAACAGGTCCCAGCATGCTGGAACAGGTCCACAGCATGCTGGAACAGGTCCACAGCATGCTGGAACAGGTCCACAGCATGCTGGAACAGGTCCACAGCATGCTGGAACAGGTCCCAGCATGCTGGAACAGGTCCACAGCATGCTGGAACAGGTCCACAGCATGCTGGAACAGGTCCACAGCATGCTGGAACAGGTCCACAGCATGCTGGAACAGGTCCACAGCATGCTGGAACAGGTCCACAGCATGCTGGAACAGGTCCACAGCATGCCGGAACAGGTCCACAGCATGCTGGAACAGGTCCACAGCATGCTGGAACAGGTCCACAGCATGCTGGAACAGGTCCACAGCATGCCGGAACAGGTCCACAGCATGCTGGAACAGGTCCACAGCATGCTGGAACAGGTCCACAGCATGCTGGAACAGGTCCACAGCATGCTGGAACAGGTCCACAGCATGCTAGAACAGGTCCCAGCATGCTGGAGCAAGTTCACAGCATGCTGGAACAGGTCCACAGCCTGCTGGAACAGGTCAAAGAACGCTTTAACAGGTCACAGAGACGCAAGATCATTGTAAATAATCTAATGTATTATCTCATTAAGCTTTATCTTGTCACAACTATTCACCGTTAACGTTAATAGTAACACATTCACCATTATATTAATATAACCCAATTAACCATTAGTCATCGTTATCATAATGTCACGATACATCATTCATATTCACCATTACTCGTGATCACTTTCACTATCATCACAATATCTCCATTAACTATTATCATAAAAATATTCACAATGATTCCTTGTTATAAGGATCTTCGTTATGAGTGATAACAAGCACAATTACTCATCATTATCGTCGTATCATCACAGTTAAGCCTACGTAAGTCGTCACTTAACCTCAGACGGCAGTTCATATATATACTTATTTTATGGAAATCCCAGGAAACTGGTTTTGATTTTATGCAAAATAGGAAAATAGTTGAGGTTTCCTCGCCTTTATCAGAGGCGGAGCTTCGAAGGTCTGAGAGACTGGAGAGCTTGTGATTGGTCAGTCAAGTGTCAGCGGCGCTTATGATTGGTCAGGCATACGTCAGCGGCGCTTGTGATTGGTCCTCAAGCGGCTGTGAAGCCAGAGCTCACTTTTGATTAGTCATTAAGCGCAGATACTAATAGCCGTTCCCTTTAGTCAACCTCCATGCTTGAGGGCCAAGTTAACCTTAGTGACCCTCCAAAAGCTGGTTTCTAATTGGCTTTCGGGAAGATAAATGAGGGTGACCATACGAGTATGCATTCACAGACGTGTCCGAGAGGAATGACTAATATGTTATGTTAATTCGTAATTGAGATATTGCTCTATCTATCCCCCCTCCTTCCTCCCTACTGAAAGCTCGATGAATTTAACATAAGTCCGGGACTCCCGTCGGTCGCTGCCTCTCTCATCCAGGAGAGGACTGTCCGTCTCAGTCCTGTGAGGAGTCCTCACAGAGTCCATAATGAGCACTGTGTACCCTCAGGACCTCTGGGTGGGCATATTTGATTTAACTTCCCACGAATACAATATCAAAACGGGAGGGTAGATTGCAGAACGAAGCACAGCCTTCCTGAAGGCAGGCAATGAAGAGCTAGACCTCAAGTCTTCGTAGTCAATGTTAGATAAAGACAGTAAGGTAAGGACTGTAAGGCAAGTGGAGAAGGAAGCATGTTGTGTTCATATGGTCGTGAGGTGACTGCGATGGAGGCACTAATGACCACCTGACGACCTCAGCTGAGAGTGATGTCATTAGCAGAAAAGAGGGATGTCACCATTAGAGAAGAGTGATGTCACCAGCAGAGAAAACAACCCAACTACTGCTGTAAGGTGACCGCTCGACGCTAACGACCAAAAACCTCATTAAACACGACATTTAGGCAAACTTCGTGGCCTTGAAAAACATACACGACATGGAGTAAGCAGCGTGTGTGTGTGTGTGAGACAGTTTCTGTGACGCCGGTTCGAGTCCCCTCCCTCCAGCCAATCTCAGACCTTCGTTTCCCACGATAAATAATTGGTATTATACACAGGAGCATATCAGCACGTCTGAGTATGTGGAGTATATTGCCATTTGTTTTAGCAGACAAGGAATCATAGTGTTTCCCCTTAGTCTAAGGTAGGAAGGTGTTTGTCGCCTGTGGTTGTAGTGCTGGGTTGTGGTGGTGGTTGGTGGTGGTGTTGTGGTAGTTGGTGGTGGTGGTGTTGGTGGTTGTGGTGGTGGTGGTGTTGGTGGTGGTTTTGGTATTGTGGTTACTGGTGGTGGTGTTGGTGGTGGTTGTGCTGTTGTGGTAGTTGGTGGTGGTGGTGTTGGTGGTTGTGGTGTTGTGGTGGGTGTTGCTGGTGGTGTTGGTGATTGTGGTGGTGTTGTTGTTATTGTTGCTGAACAATAACTTGCCACAACATCAGCTTAACGCGACGGTGAGGACCAGTCATACAATCTACACTATATACATACTTAATGTATACATTATACATGTGGGCACAACAGGGGTCAGGAGGAGCTGGCCAGGAGTGGAGGAGGAGGAGGAGGAGGAGGCAGACGTGTTAAGCTTGGACTGGGGGTAGAGAGAGAGAGAGAGAGACAGAGACAGAGAGCGTGAGCGTCTAGGTTACTAAACAATGACGCTGGTTTAACACACGTTAAGTTCGTTTCATTATTATTTGACAGAATCTCTGGTCACACTCATCATCACTTCACACTAAGGTAGATGTTGCTGGCGGGGTTATGGAGGACAACTGTGATAGTGTTGGAGAAGGTGAGCATGTTGCAGACGAGGCGAGAACGGCGCTGGAAGCAACTTATCAATGCTTGCAGACAGCTTGAAGGCAGGACCCGTGCGTCGAAGGCTAACTGATGCAAGTACAGTCAGGAGCCAAACATCTTGGAGGCTAGAGGGCGAGGTTGGAAGGTAGAGAGACATCTTGGAGGCCAGAGGGCGAGTTTGGAAGGTAGAGAGACATCATGGAGGCCAGAGGGCGAGTTTGGAAGGTAGAGAGACATCTTGGAGGCCAGAGGGCGAGTTTAGAAGGTAGAGAGAGACATCATGGAGGCCAGAGGGCGAGTTTAGAAGGTAGAGAGACATCATGGAGGCCAGAGGGCGAGTTTAGAAGGAAGAGAGACATCTTGGAGGCCAGATGGCGAGTTTAGAAGGTAGAGAGAGACATCATGGAGGCCAGAGGGCGAGTTTAGAAGGTAGAGAGACATCATGGAGGCCAGAGGGCGAGTTTAGAAGGTAGAGAGACATCATGGAGGCCAGAGGGCGAGTTTAGAAGGAAGAGAGACATCTTGGAGGCCAGAGGGCGAGTTTAGAAGGAAGAGAGACATCTTGGAGGCCAGAGGGCGAGTTTAGAAGGAAGAGAGAGACATCATGGAGGCCAGAGGGCGAGTTTAGAAGGAAGAGAGAGACATCTTGGAGGCCAGAGGGCGAGTTTAGAAGGAAGAGAGAGACATCATGGAGGCCAGAGGGCGAGGTTGGAGGAGTGTGTAGAGCTATATCTGATGGTACCAGAACAACATGTAGTCCCCGTCGCCAACGATCGTCTCCTGAACACCTGAGGAGAGAAATAATGACAAATTAGTGTAAAGTGTTATTTGTGTTTTTTCTTATTTTAATGCTGTAAGCTACGGTGGGTGAGAGGCAGCGGAGTATATGGTGCACAGTAGAGACGGGAGGCAGCAGAGGTCGGGCCCGAGGCACTCGTGTGGGGGGAGGAAACTGTTGTGTAAGTCTTGTTGTCACTCGTAAGGAAGCCACATATGCACAGGTGCAGAGTGTTGGAGAGGTGTTGAGCATATTGGATGACCGACATCGTCATCCAGTACAGCGAGACTCTGATACCGTTCAGTCATATTTAATGTGAGGCGATTGACTGCGCGCCAAAACTTGAAGCAGGTTGAAGACCCTGCGACAATCGACTTGAGAATGGTCCAGGACGGACCGAATCGTCGTCGTCCCTTCACCTTCTAGTGTGTGGTCTGGTCAACATACAACAGCCACGTTATTGTGACTCCTCGCCTGCAAGAAGGTTGAACACTGACAAAAGGCTTTCGAATATTCGAGAGGCTTTTACGGAAGGGAATTTCGTAATAATGGTATAATAATGGTAATGACCAGTAGGGTTGCAAGGGAGGGCAGAGAGCGAGCAACAGCAGCCACTAAATGTTGCACAACTGACCCTATGTCACCAGTAAGCTCAAGCTCAGGGGCCCCAGCCCGTCCTCCTAAGGTTTCCCAACGTCAAGAAAACGGTCAGTTTAAAGTGTCCTCTCCTAACCTACCAGAGGACCCAAAACAGAAAACGGGACAGTACGTCACTTTCGCCAGCTACTTCCTTGTTCTAGTGCAACAATATTTGGCCTTAGATAACGCATACGAGCGAAAAAATAAACGACGTTCTTTGTAGGAGGACAGGTTATAGGGGACAGATATTTGAACAAGAGACCTTACAAACCAGCCCAAGCCGACTCAACCAAGCAGGTCACGTTAAACCAATTGTTCAACCTCAGTCCTACCAATAAAGGTGCATGTTGACCTCCCCCAGCCTCCCACCTTTCCTGGGGCACCAGCACATGACTCCAACACCAAAGGAAATGGGAAATCATATAAACATTTCAGTGAATCTTACCTTTCAAGTATGGCCTCAGGGCGAGTCGGTTCCTCCTCGATCCGAGACAGCCTCGTGACCCCAACAATAACCCCAAACAACTCTGACTTACCCCACTGACAGGACCCTAGAGTGGCCAGCTAGGGAGGGTGTGCCACAGTAGTGCCACACTAACCTGTGCCCACGACGAACTTGTTATCAGGCTTGGTGCCAGGGACGGGCGGCTCCTTCATGCGGTAGAAAAGCCAGAACCAGTAACCCAGCTTCTCCTCCTTGGCGCCGGCCAGTGTGTGGATGTAGAGACCATGACCCCAGTGCGACGCCGAGAACCTGTGTGACACAACACACACACACATATTTAGAATGCTGAATGGGTTGCACGGGTACGAAACCGGAGAGGAAAGTCTTGAAACCTGGGGAAAGTTTTCTTAATCGTATACAGGAGGATTTAGGATATTGCAACAGTGGGTTTAAACACGTTTATAAACTGTTGGAATCGGAGAGAGAGAGAGAGAGAGAGAGAGAGAGAGAGAGAGAGAGAGAGAGAGAGAGAGAGAGAGAGAGAGAGAGTAGAAGTTAGTCAATAAAGATAGGAAAGAGACCAAACGCAAGATATGGACTACTTTAGAAAGTCAGAGACTAAAGTTCAATGGATTTAAACCTCTTTTAGAGGCCCTGACGAGAACCTACAGAACAAAGGTTTATGAACAATGAACAAAGTAGAAAGATAACTATACCGGCTGAACCTACAATGTTTAATACACAACATTAGAGGATGTTTTGGCTATATACATTATATCAATCATACACGAGCCATGTATGGGTACTCACACGAACTGTGGGGGGTTACTCACACAGACTATGAGGGGGGTACTCACACAGACTGTGAGGGGGGTACTCACACAGACTGTGAGGGGGGTACTCACACAGACTGTGAGGGGGGTACTCACACAGACTGTGAGGGGGGTACTCACACAGACTGTGAGGGGGTACTCACACAGACTATGAGGGGGGTACTCACACAGACTGTGAGGGGGGTACTCACACAGACTGTGAGGGGGATACTCACACAGACTGTGAGGGGGGTACTCACACAGACTGTGAGGGGGGTACTCACACAGACTGTGAGGGGGTACTCACACAGACTATGAGGGGGTACTCACACAGACTATGAGGGGGGTACTCACGTAAAGCGCTCGTCCTGCTCGGCGGCCATCTTCATGATAGTGAGGAAGGTGGTGTTGACCGGGACAGTGAAGGTGAGGTTGTAATTGATGGTGGCGTTGTTCCCCTTCCAGATGATGTATGTCACCTTCACCTGCAGGCCACGAAAGTGAGACAGGCTGTATCATACACTATACTGCATCACCTTCCCCCCTACCTACTGTATTTTATACACAAATGTCTGCGATTTATTGCACCTCTCATCCCAGTCTTAAAATTGTTGTCATTAGCAACAAATAAATTAGTATAGATAATTTTTTGAGCATTTTCCGGTAACAACAGGAGGAAAAACTTGGCCAAAGTTGGAGATGATGTTTGAGTGTCTCACCATCTCCTTAATGGTGGTGTTGGAGAGGTCAGGTCGCGGGGGCAGGTCAGAGGGTACGGCTGGCGGCTCACTCGGCACCACAAACTCGTCCACTGGTCACAAACAAAAGATAAACGCCTCGTAAGTTTTAGACACAAATCCTTATCCTGAATTAAGAGATATTCTAAGCCTCCAAGAACAAGGAGGGGTGCCACTGAGGTGCGGCTTGAGTAGTGGTGCAGTGTATATATATATATATATATATATATATATATATATATATATATATATATATATATATATATATATATATATATATATATATATATATATATATATATGTTAATTCTTGTTAATTTTCTAACACAGAACGACTGGGTCGTTCCCCCTAGTCATAGGTCCACCAGTAGGGCCTCTTCCTGCTGACACCTATCCAGCAACTGTACAGCCCCTTAAGCACTTCACCTGACTGATCGAGTCAATCAATCAATCAATCTTCTGAAATTTACGGGCTCACCATAGCCCGTGCTACATGGACACTACGTTCTGAGTAGCTAAATCTCAAACAACAACAACTTCTGAAATATTTTGTGACATTAAGATAAAATGTCTTCGATCCTTTCTTGATGTGTTTCTTGCTCGCTCAGTCAGGTTAAGAGCTTTTGGGTCTGGTTAGTAGCGGGATAGGTGACTGCATTATTTAATACAAGAAAATCATAAAAAAACAATGCCGAAGTGAACATTGTATACAGGCAATATACAGAACAGGAGTCTCCGTGGTACAATTGGCTGCGTTCTCGAATCACAATGCTAATTTTGCTACAAATTACCTACTATACCTACAACACCTACTACCTACTATACCTACAAATTTTATCTTGCCCGAAACGCATTGCGTAATAGTGGCTTTAGGCATTGTATGTACTAGCTCTATCTATATATCAATCCATTAATGTAACATCACTTGTATGTATATACCTTACCTGAATAAACATCTGAATCTGAATCTGAATCTGACTTAAAATTATCTGTTAGATTAAGGACCTGCCGGAAACGCTATGAGTGTTAGTGGCTTAACAAGAATGTCAAAACATCAATGCTCTGTATTCTCATATACCCAATGTACCTTCTTGTTTATACATAAATAAATAAATAGTTAAACAAATAAATAAACAATAGGAAATCCCAGATTCGAACTCTGAGCGAGACAGAAATGGTTGTACACGTTTCTTTTCAACTAATGCCTCTGTTCACCTAGCATTAAGAAAACGAATGCCCTGGCTTGGTGCCTTCTTTTGATAATTACTTGCTTAAGAAAACGAATTGTTCAGACACACCTACCTTAAATACAAAAAAAAAAGGTGTAAATAACACAGAAAACGGACACAATAGCCACCAAAGAAAACGTTACTACAAGATGGGTGACTTACCTGGAGCGTCTTCATCGTCGATGGTGTCGTGGGCGACCCTCGGACACTTCCTGAGAGCGACGTCAAGTAGAGTGCGTCCGCCCAGCAGCGGCAAGACGGCGTTGGTGTCGAAGAGGCCGCCGAAGGACCCATCAGGAAGCTGGTGAGAGAGAACATACTCCTGCGCCCGCGTTGCGTTCCATGTCCCTGCCAGCTGGCTGGACATCATCGCCTGAGGGAGAGAGACGGAGAGATGAGAGAGGGAGAAAAGAAGGTGGAGAAATGGAAAATGAAGGGAAGATGGAAGGGAATGGAGCAGTTGAAATGAGGTGAAACGTGGAAGGGGGAGAGAGAGAGAGAGGGAGGGAGGAAGTCGGAGGTAAAGGCAGGGTGAACTCGACAGCAAAGAAGGATGTTGGGTCAGGAAGATGGCCACCGTACACCAGACCCCGGGATACTACGTCAAACCCGCCGGTCAGATTCAGTGGGCATCAGGCACGCCCCCTCGCGAGGGGGTCCAGGTGAAAGAGGGAAAATGTGGGAACGCTGTAAATACTGAACCAAGACCTGAGCCTCCCGGAGACTGACGTCACACGAAGCACAGGTGATGCAGGAGCATACCAGGGCAGGGTATGGACCCTTGGGGCGCCCCCGTGAACCAGGATGACACTCCAGCTTCACGACCTCGCTGGAGATGTCACCGAACACACCCACCGCACTACTCACACACTCCAGATTCACACCCAACCCAGACTAGCCAACCGACATCTTATCCTCCATCGAGGCCACTGAAAATAATGGCCTTCGAGTAAATAGAGGTAAACGTGGAATTCTGAATTCATTCTGCAGTACGACACACACACAAGACGTGAGAGCCACACCCTATGCTTTGGCCACTCACAGGTGAGACACATTTCTTACCATCAAGATCAATGCCCAGGAGAAGTAGAGGAAGAAAGCGGTGGAGAAAATGGAGAGAAGGAAAGAGGGGGAGCCGAAGGAGGGAAGGAGCCGAGGGAGGGAGGGAGACGAGAGGAATGATGGAAGGTAGGGAGACTAGGGAGAAAGGTAAGTAGGGAGGTAGGGAGACTAGGGAGGAAGGTAGAGAGAGACGAGGTAAGGGACAGAGCTTCACCCTCATCACCATATTGATAAAGTCAACACGGCTCATCTGCTGGTAACACCGGCCTCGTGACGTCACTGTAAGAGCCGGATGATGATTGGCTGCGGAAGGTAATCATTCAGACATTGTTTATACTTATTACGTCTGTGATTGGTCGAGATAATAACACACTTAGCTCGTTACGAGTTGCGGTTACCCATAATATTATATTGTATGATTAGTAGTCCTTTTTATGTGTGAATTGTTTGTACACCCAAACTACAACCCCTACACACACCTCCATACACCCCACACACACCCTACACACACCTCCACACACCCTACACACACCTCCACACACCCTACACACACCTCCACACACCTCCACACACCCTACACACACCTCCATACACCTCCACACACCCTACACACACCTCCACACACCTCCACACACCCTACACACACCTCCATACACCTCCACACACCCTACACACACCTCCACACACCTCCACACACCCTACACACACCTCCACACACCCTACACACACCTCCACACACCTCCACACACCCTACACACACCTCCATACACCTCCACACACCCTACACACACCTCCACACACCCTACACACACCTCCATACACCTCCACACACCCTACACACACCTCCACACACCTCCACACACCCTACACACACCTCCACACACCCTACACACACCTCCACACACCTCCACACACCCTACACACACCTCCACACACCCTACACACCCTACACACACCTCCACACACCCTACACACACCTCCAAACACCCTACACACCCTACACACACCTCCACACACCCTACACACACCTCCATACACCTCCACACACCCTACACACACCTCCACACACCCTACACACACCTCCACACACCCTACACACACCTCCATACACCCTACACACACCTCCATACACCTCCACACACCCTACACACACCTCCACACACCTCCACACACCCTACACACACCTCCACACACCTCCACACACCCTACACACACCTCCACACACCCTACACAGACCTCCACACACCCTACACACACCTCCACACACCTCCACACACCCTACACACACCTCCACACACCCTACACACACCTCCACACACCTCCACACACCCTACACACACCTCCACACACCTCCACACACCCTACACACACCTCCACACACCTCCACACACCCTACACACACCTCCACACACCCCACACACCCTACACACACCTCCACACACCCTACACACACCTCCACACACCCTACACAGACCTCCACACACCCTACACACACCTCCATACACCCCACACACACCCTACACACACCCCCACACACCTCCACACACCCTACACACACCTCCACACACCCTACACACACCTCCACACACCTCCACACACCCTACACACACCTCCACACACCCTACACACACCTCCACACACCCTACACACACCTCCACACACCCTACACAGACCTCCACACACCCTACACACACCTCCATACACCCCACACACACCCTACACAAACCCCCACACACCTCCACACACCCTACACACACCTCCACACACCCTACACACACCTCCATAAACCCCACACACACCCTACACACACCCCCACACACCTCCACACACCCTACACACACTCATTCACACTCACACTCACTCTTTCTGTCTTCCAAATTCTCAACAGCTTTGAAGAGTCCAAGAACTCTCCACCATGAAATATTATCCGGTAATTAAACTCTGACCATTTTTTTGTTCTTTTATTGTGTTTTTATGCTCTAATGCTCTCTCTCTCTCTCTCTCTCTCTCTCTCTCTCTCTCTCTCTCTCTCTCTCTCTCTCTCTCTCTCTCTCTCTCTCTGAATGGTGATATTCGACTTTCAACCTATATGCCTCGACTTTCAGCTTGGGATCTACAACAGGCGACTTGATCTGAACGGCTCGTGAGGTAGAGAGAGACGAGAGCAGTGGAGGATGTGACTGAAGGAACTAACCTGGAGGGCCAGAGCAGTGGAGTGGAGGTTGTCGTTGAAGGAGCCGTCTTGGGCCTGGTGACGGAGGAGGCTGTGTAAGGCCTGGACGATGTAGTGCTGGAGGTCGTGGCGCCTCTGGTGCTGCGCGCAGTGGAGGGCCAAGATCACCACCGACAGTGTGTCTGTAAGGTCCAGGAGCCTCTCTAAGTCACTCACACACACTCACAGTAATATTATGCGAGAGAGAGAGAGAGAGAGAGAGAGAGAGAGAGACAGACAGACAGAGAGTATTTCTGACAAAATAAACTCAGGTAAACGAGCAACGTATATTAAATATATATATGTCGTACCTAGTAGCCAGAACTCACTTCTCAGCCTACTATGCGAGGCCCGATTTGCCTAATAAGCCAAGTTTTACTGAATTAATATAGTTTCTCTAATTTTTTTTCTTATGAAATGATAAAGCTACCCATTTCATTATGTATGAGGTCAATTTTTTTTTATTGGAGTTAAAATTAACGTAGATATATGACCGAACCTAACCAACCCTACCTAACCTAACCTAACCTATGTTTATAGGTTAGGTTAGGTTAGGTAGCCGAAAACGTTAGGTTTGGTTAGGTTAGGTAGGTTAGGTTGTCGAAAAAACATTAATTCATGAAAACTAGGCTTATTAGGCAAATCGGGCCTTGCATAGTAGGCTGAGAAGTGAGTTCTGGCTACTAGGTACGACATATATATATATATATATATATATATATATATATATATATATATATATTTGTAAACAATTGCCAACGTTTAGACAAGCTTGGAAACGACATTTAATTTATTTATTTTACAAGGTAAAGATATATATTTTTAAATTTTTGTTTACCTCAGTCCATGTGAAAGTTTGGAGCCAGCAATTGATATCTTATTGAGGTGATTTTTAACTGATGTAGACTTTATTTAAATTTAGGCTTTTTGTTCATATTGCTTTCCCTTTGTGCCATTAATTGATTTCTCAAACACCTGTTTGTTGTGAGTGCGTGCACAAAGTGGGTGTTTGGGAGGGGGGGGGGACTAATGATCGCTGATGGAAAAATGTTCTTGAGAAAGATACAAGGTGATCCTGCTTGTGGCTGAGCGTCTTGAGTCATAACAGACGTCTTCTAGCTGTCCTTACAGTTGGGTTACGTTAGTGAATATTAAAAAGTTGTCTTTGTACAGAAACACGTTGATCTTGTACAGAAAACGTTGATCTTGTACAGAAAACGTTGATCTTGTACAGAAAACGTTGATCTTGTACAGAAAACGTTGATCTTGTACAGAAAACGTTGATCTTGTACAGAAAACGTTCATTTTGTACAGAAAACGTTGACCTTGTACAGAAAACGTTGATCTTGTACAGAAAAACGTTGATCTTGTACAGAAAACGTTGATTTTGTACAGAAAACGTTGATCTTGTACAGAAAACGATGATAACAAAACCATTATTTAGTTTTCTGGTGTTGAAGATTACGAAAGAACATCTTCCAGCTAGATATCCTTACCTTTCTTGCAAGATATCTTGAGGTTATCTTGAGATGATTTCGGGGCCTAGCATCCCCGCGGCCCGGTCCTCGACCAGGCCTCCTTTTGGTTACACACACACCCCTAGGAAGTAGCCCGAAGCAGCTGTCTAACTCCCAGGTACCTACTTACTGCTAGGTGAACAGGTCCATCATGGGTGAAAGAAACTCTGCCCATTTGCTTCCTACTCCACCGGGGATCGAACCCGGAACCTCAGGACTACGAATCCCGAGCGCTATCCACTCAGCCGTCAGGCTACATCACAGTTCTCGTGTGCCTTGGAACTGAGGCATGACTTCTCATCTCTCTAGTTATTAAAACATATGAGAAACGCATCTTGTTTTTATGCCAACGTGAAAGCTTTAATACGGTTCTTGAAGATGGATGACAAGATTTTGTCTTTCTTGACCCTGGAATTACATCATAGCGAAGTAAAGACACGAATCTTTTCTTGGTTGATAGTTTCCGATTTATTGGTGGACTTGGATCTTAAGATGTGTCGTCTGGCGTTGACAAGATTCTACAGGAATTTGTAATATATTCTTCAATATGATTATAGGTTTTCCATCCGTCTCTGACACACACACACACACACACGCTTGGCTCTTGGCGTGTGTCGGGAGACGGGTCTTGAAGCTATTGTTGTTAAGTCTAAGATGAAGATTTGGTCTATACTTACGGTGAGGAATGTTCGGGTCTCTGAGAACTTTCATATTACTGCCGAACCATTCAATGTAGTCATGATTAAGTGGAGAGGAAAGTGCTAGTCAGTTGAGAGAAGTGCTAACGAGTTGAGAGAACCACTAACGAGTTGAGAGAAGTAACTAACGAGCTGAGAGAACCACTAACGAGTTGAGAGAAGTAACTATCGAGCTGAGAGAACCACTAACGAGCTGAGAGAACCACTAACGAGTTGAGAGAACCACTAACGAGCTGAGAGAACCACTAACGAGCTGAGAGAACCACTAACGAGTTGAGAGAACCACTAACGAGTTGAGAGAACCACTAACGAGCTGAGAGAACCACTAACGAGTTGAAAGAACCACTAACGAGCTGAGAGAAGTATACCATGCACACTTTCACCTCCTAACAATTCTCAACATTTTAAAACATGAAATATAAACTTAAAAGTAAATGTTCAAGACAAATTGCATCAAATAACATTTGGAGTGGTAATTACTCAACTATTCAGGTCCAGGCCAATTAAATCTCTAATTGGAATTCTTTGATAATAATTACGTTGTCCAAACTAACTCGTTACGAACAACGCGGATGTAAAAAGTAATAGAATTTGCAACTGGGAAAAAGTCAGAAAGATGTTTTATGAACATTATAGATGTATAATGACTGTGTATGGGTCTAGTATGAACATTATGGATGTATAATGACTGTGTATGGGTGTAGTATGAACATTATAGCTGTATAATGACTGTGTATGGGGTGTAGTATGAACATTATAGCTGTATAATGACTGTGTATGGGGTGTAGTATGGACACACACAGTCTCTTACCGATGGAGTGTATCTTGCTTTGGTCAGTAGTCATGTCAACGAGGCGTCGAACTCGGGACTTGCGGACGTGGTGGCCCGCGGTGCAGGTGGCCAGCTGCGCGAAGGCCACTTCGAAGTCCACTTCGCCCTCCTGGTGGCCCAACATGGCTGCCGAAGAGGACACAGATGGGACGGAGGTTTGTCCTCAGACTAAGGGAGGCATTTGTTGGTGTGGCTGAGCATGGAGGGGTTAGTAGTGGAGGCAGCAGTGTGTGTGTGTGTGAGAGGCATGGAGGAAGAGGAGAGGTGTGCGGAAGGGAGGGAGAGAGAGAGGGAGGGAAGGAAGAGAGGGGTGAGAGAGAATGGAAGGAAAGGTATACAGTTGGATTATTCTTAGGTATGGGGGGGGGGAAGGGAGAAAATGGGAAGGGGGGTTAAGAATCTAGTTTATTTACTTTTTGCTGTTTCAGTATACGCACGCAAGCACGCACATACGCACGCAAGCACGCACATACGCACGCAAGCACGTACGCACACAAGCACACACGCACACACACACACACCTATATGCACATTTATCTCGTAGAACTGAAAATATTTCCCCTAGGGACCTGCAGATATTTGTCCCAGGGACCTGCAGATATTTCCCCCAGGGACCTGCAGATATTTCCCCCAGGGACCTGCAGATATTTCCCCAGGGACCTGCAGATATTTCCCCCAGGGACCTGCAGATATTTCCCCCAGGGACCTGCAGATATTTGTCCCAGGGACCTGCAGATACTTCCCCCAGGGACCTGCAGATATTTGTCCCAGGGACCTGGAGATATTTCCCTCAGGGACCTGCAGATATTTGTCCCAGGGACCTGCAGATATTTGCCCCTGGAACCTGCAGATATTTCCCCCAGGGACCTGCAGATATTTCCCCCAGGGACCTGCAGATATTTCCCCCAGGGACCTGCAGATATTTCCCCCAGGGACCTGCAGATATTTGCCCCAGGGACCTGCAGATATTTGCCCCAGGGACCTGCAGATACTTCCCCCAGGGACCTGCAGATATTTCCCCCAGGGACCTGCAGATATTTGCCCCAGGGACCTGCAGATACTTCCCCCAGGGACCTGCAGATATTTCCCCCAGGGACCTGCAGATATTTGCCCCAGGGGAGCTGGAAATACGTCCCTGGAGAGAGAGTGTTCAGGGGAGGGCGGTGGTAATCCTCCAGTACAGAAAAACAGAGAAATCCCAACATTTTTGTCTGTGAGCTCAGTGAGGGCAGGTCTTTGTCTCTGTCTTTGTCTGTGAGCTCAGTGAGGGGCAGGTCTTTGTCTCTGTTTTTGTCTGTGAGCTCAGTGAGGGCAAGTCTTTGTCTCTGTCTTTGTCTGTGAGCTCAGTGAGGGCAGGTCTTTGTCTCTGTCTTTGTCTGTGAGCTCAGTGAGGGGCAGGTCTTTGTCTCTGTCTTTGTCTGTGAGCTCAGTGAGGGCAAGTCTTTGTCTCTGTCTTTGTCTGTGAGCTCAGTGAGGGCAGGTCTTTGTCTCTGTCTTTGTCTGTGAGCTCAGTGAGGGGCAGGTCTTTGTCTCTGTTTTTGTCTGTGAGCTCAGTGAGGGCAAGTCTTTGTCTCTGTCTTTGTCTGTGAGCTCAGTGAGGGCAGGTCTTTGTCTCTGTCTTTGTCTGTGAGCTCAGTGAGGGGCAGGTCTTTGTCTCTGTTTTGTCTGTGAGCTCAGTGAGGGCAAGTCTTTGTCTCTGTCTTTGTCTGTGAGCTCAGTGAGGGCAGGTCTTTGTCTCTGTCTTTGTCTGTGAGCTCAGTGAGGGGCAGGTCTTTGTCTCTGTCTTTGTCTGTGAGCTCAGTGAGGGCAAGTCTTTGTCTCTGTCTTTGTCTGTGAGCTCAGTGAGGGCAGGTCTTTGTCTCTGTCTTTGTCTGTGAGCTCAGTGAGGGGCAGGTCTTTGTCTCTGTTTTTGTCTGTGAGCTCAGTGAGGGCAAGTCTTTGTCTCTGTCTTTGTCTGTGAGCTCAGTGAGGGCAGGTCTTTGTCTCTGTCTTTGTCTGTGAGCTCAGTGAGGGCAGGTCTTTGTCTCTGTCTTTGTCTGTGAGCTCAGTGAGGGCAAGTCTTTGTCTCTGTTTTTGTCTGCCCCTCACCCACCATATGGACACTACCAGCCTCCACCTCCTACCTGACCTCAGCTCACTGAGTAGTAGTAGTAGTAGTAGTAGTAGTAGTAGTAGTAGTAGTAGTAGTAGTAGTAGTAGTAGTAGTAGTAGTAATGGTAGTCCTGGTAGCCCATTCACTGATATTATGAGGACCAGTAAAGCGTGAGAGAAGGGAGTGAGGACTAGGAGGAGGATATTTGGAGTCCATAGTGAGGACTAGGAGGAGGATATTTGGAGCCCATAGTGAGGACTAGGAGGAGGATATTTGGAGTCCATAGTGAGGACTAGGAGGAGGATATTTGGAGTCCATAGTGAGGACTAGGAGGAGGATATTTGGAGCCCATAGTGAGGACTAGGAGGAGGATATTTGGAGTCCATAGTGAGGACTAGGAGGAGGATATTTGGAGCCCATAGTGAGGACTAGGAGGAATAAGAGCCTAGGTGGAGACTGCCAAGGCTGAAGTTTAGTACGGTTCTGTCCTCCTATATCAACGCAAGCATGACAAACTGAGGGTCCCTCCCAAGGGCCATATGGGCCACATTTGTGTTGTCATGAGGGCCACACACCGTAACTAAATGAAGTCATTTAATAACAATTATGGCAGCATATTTGTATTACTTAAAGTTAGACACATACAATGTGTATACAAATGGTTTAGCGGCTCGATACATTCATGACTGCAAAGTAATGAAGTAGTTTAAACGAAGGGAAAAATGAAATGAAATTGCAAACTGCAACATAGATTTCTATGCAACAAATACATTGTGCACAAATTACAACAGTTCAAAATGAACATTTATTTACGACCATTCAATCACTTTTAGTGTTTTGTCCTGAGGCTTCACACCTCTGTTGTAATCTATTAAAAGGTGATAGTTTACATTATACAAAGTGGTGATGCTCTTATGGCTGGTCGGGGCTCCAAAGGTGCTCCACGCAACGTGTAGATCACACCAAAGGTGCAGAGGGGAGGGGTAGGTGAGTGAGGATTACCTCTTACCTATAAGGGTGAAGCCCCTCCCCCCATAGGTAAGAGATAAGTGGGGTGAAAGAGGATGTTAATAGGTTAGGGGGGGAATAGATGAGTTCAATTGAGGAAGGGGTTAGATGAAGGGGGGAAGGGGTCCAGGAGGGGTGGGGGGGGAGAAAGAGAGCTGAACGACGAAGATACACTAACAAAACTCAACCAGAGAACGAGAAAGACTATGCCGAAGATACATGATTACGACATCCAAGATACTTGCATTAGCAAGGTCGACACGGAAATTGTTCTTTAAAGGTGGGAATCGGAGAGAGATACTGACTTGGACGCCGACGACACCTAAATGAGCATTGGGAAATATTACAGAGAAGCTGACATGAACTTAGTCGTGACTAGAGCTCAATCAGGAACGAGGTGGAAGAGCTACAGGTCCTACATAGATCCGTATGTAGCTATATGTACTCCATATAGACTACCACAGAGCACCTTAGACTACCACAGACCGCTTAACGGTGAATGCCAGTTGAGAAAGACGCTTGAAATTCACGGAGTGAAACTTACTCACACACACACACACACACACACACACACACACACACACACACACACACACACACACACACACACACACACACACACACACACACACACACACACACACACACACACACATACACAGGACCAAAGTGCCAAAGCTCAACCCCCGCAAGCACAATTAGGTGAGTACACACACACACACACACACACACACACACACACACACACACACACACACACACACACACACACACACACACACACACACACACACAGAACTTGAATACCTGCGATCAAAAAGTGATATGATTGCTTTCAAATTGCTTTTCATATGCGTTGATGGATGTGTATCAAGTGCTACACTACAGAGAGAGAGAGAGAGAGAGAGAGAGAGAGAGAGAGAGAGAGAGAGAGAGAGAGAGAGAGAGAGAGAGAGAGAGAGAGAGTGTGTGTGTGAGAGAGAGAGAGTGAGAGAAAAAGAGAGTGAGAGAGCGTGTGCGCGCGCGCGTACATCAGAAGGGTGCGGTCATAGGTTCATTACCATCTTCCTGATTGGCCACATGCCAGCTGGTAATAAGCCAATCACCAACCAGGATCTTCCCGTGCCCCAAAAACCATGCTTTGAATATTAAACAAGACATCAAAGCATTAAAATAGTACATAATAATGATGATGATGATAATGATATAATGACGGCTGTAGTAGGGGGCCGGTGAAGGAGCCAGCATTATATATTTCCAGAGATTCCAGCCACTCATATATTTCATGAAAATTCCGGATTCCAGAGAGAGAGAGAAAGAGTATTTTCCGCGCCATCTTCTCCCATTAATATTAGCAATTCTCACATGAGATTGGAATAGACATTATTTCAAAATTATTCTCAGACATAAATATAACCCTAACCCCCCTCTCTCCCCCTCTGGGGAAGGGGGGAAGGGGGGAGGGGGGTCTAACCAAGACATGGGGTTCGGAATTTCTATCAATTATGATCTTAAAACACACACAAAACAATGTCTAGTTCATGTACTCTGTCTATGTCTGTCTGTTTCTGTCTCTCTGTCTCTGTCTCTGTCTCTCTCTCTTTTTCTCGTCTTTGCCCAATCCCTTAGGGTGGACGGTTTAATCCCCGACCGTCCAAGTGGTTGGGCACCATTCCTTCTCCCCCGTCCCATCCCAATTTCTTATCCTGATCCCTTCCTATTGCGATATAGTTGTAAGGGCTTGCCGCTTCTTCTGATAGTTCCCTTCCCTTTCTCTTCTCTCTCTCTCTCTCTCTCTCTCTCTCTCTCTCTCTCTCTCTCTCTCTCTCCTCTCTCTCTCTCTCTCTCTCCCTCTCTCTCTCTCTCTCTCTCTCTCTCTCTCTCTCTCTCTCTCTCTCTCTCTCTCTCTCTCTCTCTCTCTCTCTCTCTCTCTCTCTCTCTCTCTTTTGTAACAAGACTGCGTGACCAAAATTTCTTTCCCTTCAGATAACGAGATTTTCAACAGCAATGTACACGTTGCGAAAAGTGATGGTGGTGGTGGTGGGTGGTGGATGGTGGTAGAGGGGGTGTGGGTGGGTGGTGGTAGAGGGGGTGTGGGTGGGTGGTGGTAGAGGGGGTGTGGGTGGGTGGTGGTAGAGGGGGTGGTGTGGGTGGGTGGTGGTAGAGGGGGTGTGGGTGGGTGGTGGTAGAGGGGGTGTGGGTGGTGGTGGTGGAGATGTGGGTGGTGGTAGAGGAATGTGGGTGGTTGTGTTGGTACAATATAGTTGTGATTGGTGTGGTCGAGTTAGTGTGGTGGCAGAAAGACAGGTTTATAAGCAACAATCAATCACAAACAAGGGTGAAATACGGGCAAACAAGGCTGTAGGGAACAAACAACGTTATGAAAATAAAACGATTCAATTATGAACCGCAAACACAAACAAATTCACAAACAAGAAATACTTAAACTCTCATAAAACACTATAAAAACACTCTTAGGTCCCACGAAACACTGTGATTTAGAGTAATAAAGAGTGAGTGTGTGGGGAGGAAGCAACAGCAAGACTCACCAACGAGGTCCTTGGAGTAGAAAGCTCTTGGGTCCCGGCACAGTGCCACCAACGCCATTACGTTGACTGCAAGATGACCTGTGGTCAGAGGCAGCTCCCGGTGCCTGTAGAGAGGTCACACACACACATCAGATGCTGGTAAAATGGCGTCCAGGTCACATGAGGTCACATCTTAGACAAAGAGACGCATGGAATAGGTCACATCTTAGACAAAGGGACGCATGGAATAGGTACTGGTCACAGGTTATATAAATCACTGACACTAGGGATAACTGGTCAGTCTCTCACTCTATCCCCTCTATCCTCCTATCCCCCCCCCAACCCCACCTCCCATCCCCCCCCTCCCCTCACTCACTTCCACAGCCTAAGGACCAGTTCCAGTTCCAGTTGCTTGGTGACCAGCTGAGCCTCCAGGTTGTCTGGAGCGAACCAGGTAGCGTTGGCTAGTCTGAGGGCCAGGACGGTGTGGGCCGTGTCGGTGGCCCACCCCCAGTCTGGCCGGCGCTGGCCCACCACCCACGCCACGGCCCGCCCGGCCGCCGGCAGGGCCAGAACCGGTCGCTCGTCCATCGGGCGAGCTGCGTCCTCGTCCATACCGGACTCTGACGACAAAAATATATATTAGGAAAAAAAAAATATACTGTAAAATACTCCCACTCATAAAATAAACTCTGTCAAATAAAATTAATAAAAATCAATAAAATCCACTCCCCGAAATTAGCACAACCACTAATGTTTAAGAGATATCTAAATACTTCACTTAAAATGATGCAAAACCAGAAATCTTCGGCAAATATCACAAGTTTGCGTACTGTAGGTGGTCCGTGAGGTCTAGTTCCTGGACCCATTATGTGTCTATACTGTCGTCCTCCTCCTCCACATAATGGGACTCGGGCCAGTAATAAAGTAAACTAGAAATATGACTGATACTCCACCTCCTCTTCTCGAGTGTGTGTGTGTGATTTGTGGGAGGTCACGCCCTTAGAGGCCTTCAGAGGCCCTCAGAGGCCCTCAGAGGCTCTCAGTGGCCTTCAGAGGCCCTCAGAGGTCCTTAGAAGTCATTAGAGGCCCCTCAGAGGTCCTTTGAAGTCCTCAGAGGCCCCTCAGAGGTCCTTAGAAGTCCTCAGAGGCTCTCAGAGGCCCTCAGTGTCCCTCAGTGTCCCTTGTAATTGAGGTACATCTTGCTAGAAATTGGAGTTCCTAGCAGTGCCTCTTGCTGCATTTGGAATTCTACCTGTAGGCCTACTAGTACCTGTTTTAGCATAGTATTAGTACTGGTACTAGCACTTCATGTGTACTGGTGCCGGAACTAATTCAGTACTGTATTAGTATTGTATTAGCATCGATATCTCTTATGTGACTTTCTCAGTGAAAGTAGTAGATGCTGTATTTCTCTCAGATCAGTGTGTGTCGACCGTCATAACAGCTGGTGTTCTTAGCAGTGTGTGTCGACCATCATAACAGCTGGTGTTCTTAGCAGTGTGTGTCGACCGTCATAACAGCTGGAGTTCCTAACAGTGTGTGTCGACCGTCATAACAGCTGGTGTTCTTAGCAGTGTGTGTCGACCATCATAACAGCTGGTGTTCTTAACAGTGTGTGTCGACCGTCATAACAGCTGGTGTTCCTAACAGTGTGTGTCGACCGTCATAACAGCTGGTGTTCTTAGCAGTGTGTGTCGACCGTCATAACAGCTGGTGTTCTTAACAGTGTGTGTCGACCGTCATAACAGCTGGTGTTCTTAACAGTGTGTGTCGACCGTCATAACAGCTGGTGTTCTTAACAGTGTGTGTCGACCGTCATAACAGCTGGTGTTCTTAGCAGTGTGTGTCGACCATCATAACAGCTGGTGTTCTTAACAGTGTGTGTCGACCGTCATAACAGCTGGTGTTCTTAACAGTGTGTGTCGACCGTCATAACAGCTGGTGTTCTTAACAGTGTGTGTCGACCGTCATAACAGCTGGTGTTCTTAACAGTGTGTGTCGACCGTCATAACAGCTGGTGTTCTTAACAGTGTGTGTCGACCGTCATAACAGCTGGTGTTCTTAACAGTGTGTGTCGACCGTCATAACAGCTGGTGTTCTTAACAGTGTGTGTCGACCGTCATAACAGCTGGTGTTCTTAACAGTGTGTGTCGACCATCATAACAGCTGGTGTTCTAAGCAGTGTGTGTCGACCATCATAACAGCTGGTGTTCTTAACAGTGTGTGTCGACCATCATAACAGCTGGTGTTCTAAGCAGTGTGTGTCGACCATCATAACAGCTGGTGCTCTAAGCAGTGTGTGTCGACCATCATAACAGCTGGTGTTCCTAACAGTGTGTGTCGACCATCATAACAACCAATGAAGCACACGTAGAGACAAGCGAGTGCCAGCAGTCAGCAGCAGTGAGTCATGTGGGTAAACTGGATGGGTGCCAGGACTGAGGCACTGGTGCCAGCGGTGCCAGCGGTGCGAGGAGGGAACCCACACTAGCAATAGGGGGTTAAGGAAGTAAATGGGGGAATGGGATATGAGATGAGAGAGGGAATAAATAGGAGGGACACGAGAAGGAGGGAGATTGAATAAATGAAGGAGGAAGTAGTGAATAAGGTGAATCAGGGAAGGATAAGGAAGGAGGGAAGTGGGATGGTCCAGTCACTCGAGTGTCACCCATGACAGTGACCGTATTGGGCAGCGTCACTCATCCTGTGAGTGAACACGCCGCCATAGTGACAGCACTGGTCAGCGTCACTCATCCTGTGAGTGAACACGCCGCCATAGTGACGGTATTGGGCAGCGTCACTCATCCTGTGAGTGAACACGCCGCCATAGTGACAGCACTGGTCAGCGTCACTCATCCTGTGAGTGAACACGCCGCCATAGTGACAGTATTGGGCAGCGTCACTCATCCTGTGAGCGAACACGCCGCCATAGTGACCGTATTGGGCAGCGTCACTCATCCTGTGAGTGAACACGCCGCCATAGTGACGGTATTGGGCAGCGTCACTCATCCTGTGAGCGAACACGCCGCCATAGTGACAGTATTGGGCAGCGTCACTCATCCTGTGAGCGAACACGCCGCCATAGTGACAGTATTGGGCAGCGTCACTCATCCTGTGAGTGAACACGCCGCCATAGTGACAGTATTGGGCAGCGTCACTCATCCTGTGAGCGAACACGCCGCCATAGTGACCGTATTGGGCAGCGTCACTCATCCTGTGAGTGAACACGCCGCCATAGTGACGGTATTGGGCAGCGTCACTCATCCTGTGAGCGAACACGCCGCCATAGTGACAGTATTGGGCAGCGTCACTCATCCTGTGAGTGAACACGCCGCCATAGTGACAGCACTGGGGAGCGCCACTCATCCTGTGAGTGAACACGCCGCCATAGTGACAGTATTGGGCAGCGCCACTCATCCTGTGAGTGAACACGCCGCCATAGTGACAGTATTGGGCAGCGTCACTCATCCTGTGAGCGAACACGCCGCCATAGTGACCGTATTGGGCAGCGTCACTCATCCTGTGAGTGAACACGCCGCCATAGTGACGGTATTGGGCAGCGTCACTCATCCTGTGAGCGAACACGCCGCCATAGTGACAGTATTGGGCAGCGTCACTCATCCTGTGAGTGAACACGCCGCCATAGTGACGGTATTGGGCAGCGTCACTCATCCTGTGAGTGAACACGCCGCCATAGTGACAGCACTGGTCAGCGTCACTCATCCTGTGAGTGAACACCACCCTAGCAGTATGTACTGCGTCGACCAATAGGAACAAACCCCACAATATTGATCAGTTCGTATAAATTGTCAGTTGTTCAATTGCATCAATATTTTCCATTGCAGCAAAGCTTTAAACAGGATCGAACCCACTTTATAAAGTCTGTCGTAAATAGAACAAAAGGCCAACACGAAGATTTTGGTAGAAAATTTTATCAACTCAATTTATCAATTTTCTAATTTATCAATTAGAAAATTACTTCGGAAAAAAGCTCGTCCCTTAAGCGCTAGATACCTCTATTATCTATCTATAGATATATTATCTATCATATAGGCAAAGTAGCTGTGAAAATGTCTCAGTCGAAATGGGGGTCAAACAAGGTGGTGATTTTAGTTTTCTATATTGATTGATATCTACGTTATCTATCGTTATGTCTCATTGGCAGGACCAGGTCTAATATCTTTTTTTTTTGCTATGCTCTTGATATTTGCTGGATAGATGATTCTCTTCAGATAAACTGATATCATTTGTGAAGGATTTCTTCAAGGACTGAAGATGTGGTCATCAGACCCAAGTAGAAGATTATAATGAGTGTAAGTATGGACTCACAAGACCATTTTTGAACATTTCGTTTCGTTTTGAACATTTCCTCCATTCACAGCTAAACTTGAACATTTCCTCCATTCACAGCTAAACTTGAACATTTCCTCCATTCACAGCTAAACTTGAACATTTCCTCCATTCACAGCTAAACTTGAACATTTCCTCCATTCACAGCTAAAGTTGAACATTTCCTCCATTCACAGTTAAACTTGAACATTTCCTCCATTCACAGCTAAACTTGAACATTTCCTCCATTCACAGCTAAACTTGAACATTTCCTCCATTCACAGCTAAACTTGAACATTTCCTCCATTCACAGCTAAACTTGAACATTTCCTCCATTCACAGCTAAACTTGAACATTTCCTCCATTCACAGCTAAACTTGAACATTTCCTCCATTCACAGCTAAAGTTGAACTTGATTTCCTCCATTCACAGCTAAACTTGAACATTTCCTCCATTCACAGCTAAACTTGAACATTTCCTCCATTCACAGCTAAACTTGAACATTTCCTCCATTCACAGCTAAACTTGAACATTTCCTCCATTCACAGCTAAACTTGAACATTTCCTCCATTCACAGCTAAACTTGAACATTTCCTCCATTCACAGCTAAACTTGAACATTTCCTCCATTCACAGCTAAACTTGAACATTTCCTCCATTCACAGCTAAACTTGAACATTTCCTCCATTCACAGCTAAACTTGAACATTTCCTCCATTCACAGCTAAACTTGAACATTTCCTCCATTCACAGCTAAACTTGAACATTTCCTCCATTCACAGCTAAACTTGAACATTTCCATTCACAGCTAAACTTGAACACATTCACAGCTAAACTTGAACATTTCCTCCATTCACAGCTAAACTTGAACATTTCCTCCATTCACAGCTAAACTTGAACATTTCCTCCATTCACAGCTAAACTTGAACATTTCCTCCATTCACAGCTAAACTTGAACATTTCCTCCATTCACAGCTAAACTTGAACATTTCCTCCATTCACAGCTAAACTTGAACATTTCCTCCATTCACAGCTAAACTTGAACATTTCCTCCATTCACAGCTAAACTTGAACATTTCCTCCATTCACAGCTAAACTTGAACATTTCCTCCATTCACAGCTAAACTTGAACATTTCCTCCATTCACAGCTAAACTTGAACATTTCCTCCATTCACAGCTAAACTTGAACATTTCCTCCATTCTCAGCTAAACTTGAACATTTCCTCCATTCACAGCTAAACTTGAACATTTCCTCCATTCACAGCTAAACTTGAACATTTCCTCCATT